TTTCTCAGAGTCCATAGTCTCTCATGGTTCATCTCCCCCTCTGATTCCCCCCCCTTCATTTTTCCCTTCCTACTATCTTCTTTTTTTTTTTTTTTTTTAACATGTAATGTATTTGGGGTGGCTGGGTGATAGACATTGGGGAGGGTCCTTAATCCATTTTGAGTTTATTTTTGTGTATGGTGTGAGAAAGTGGTCCAGTTTCATTCTTTTGCTTATAGCTGTCCCATTTCCCCAACACCATTTGTTGAAGAGACTCTCTTTTTGAAAATTAATCCTTGTCCAGATTAATCATGGGTTTATTTCTAGGTTCTCTGTTCTGTTACATTGATCTATTTGTCTATTTTTGCCAGTACCATACTGTTTTGATTACTACAGCTTTATAGTATATCTTGAAATCTGGGATTGTGATATCTCCAGTTTTGTTCTTTTTCAGAATTGTTTTGTCTATTTGGGGTATTTTGTGGTTCCATACACATTTAAGAGTATTTGTTTGAATTTAGTGAAAAATGCTGTTGGTATTTTGATAGGGATTGCATTAAATCTGTAGATTGCTTTGGGTAGTATAGACATTTTAAGAATATTTGTCCTTCCAATCCATGAGCATGGAGAATCTTTCCATTTGTTTCCATTGTCTTCATTTTCTGTTATCAGTGTTTTATAGTTTCCAGAGTACAGGTCTTTAACCTCTTTGGTTAGGTCTATTCCTAGGTATCTTATTATTTTTGCTACAATTATAAATGGGATTGTTTTCTTATTTCTCTTTCTGATACTTCATTGTGTATAGAAATGCAATGAATTTCTGTATATTGATTATATGTCCTGTGACCTTACTGAATTCATTTATCAGTTCTAGTAGGTTTTTGGTGGAGTCTTTAGGGTTTTCTATATATAGTACGTCATCGGCAAATAGTGACAGTTTTACTTATTCCTCATTAATTAGATGCCTTTTATTTCTTTTTCTTGTCTGATTGCTGTGGCTAGGACTTCCAGTACTATGTTGAATAAAAGTGGTGAGAGTGGAATCCTTGTCTTGTTCCTGACCTTAGGGGAAAGCTCTCAGTTTTTCACCATTGAGTATGATGAAGGCTGTGTGTTTTTTATATATGGCCCTTATGTTGAGGTATGTTCCCTCTAAACCTACTCTCTTGAGGGTTTTTATCATGAATCTGTGTTTTACTTTGTCAAATGCTTTTTTGGCATCTATTGAAATGATTATATGGTTTTTATCCTTTCTTGTGTTGATGTGATATATCGCTTTGATTGATTTGCAGTTACTGAACCACCCTTCCATTTGCATCTCAGTAATAAATCCCACTTGATCATGATGAATGATTTTTTTTCATGTATTGTTGAATCTGGTTTGCTAATATTTTGTTAAGGAAGGATTTTTGCATCTACATTCATCAGAGATATTGGTAATTGCCTCAATGGAAAAAGTTACCTAAAATACTTGGGTCAGCTTTTTTGTCTTCTCTCTTATAATTTGTCTCAAAATCTACCAGGATGGTACCTTTCTGATACCTCCAAATCATTCTTGCTTTCTTAAAAAAACTCTATATATTTATGTGTATGTCTATATGTATCTCACTTTTTTCCCTAGCTATTTTCAGGAGTGTTGGTCTGAGACAACCTAGTAAGCCATTGCCAGAAGCATATTTTTCTTCTCCTTGTCCCTCTCCACTCTTCCATACCATTCTCCACTAGAATATAATGTTGTTCTGTGTATCTCATTTAGTGCTACTTAGAAAAGTGCCTAGCACAAAAGAGAAGTCAATAGATATTTATTGAATTAAAGAATGAATGGACATTTTATGTGAGAAGATAGAATGGCAATTCAAAAGAAAATATCTTTCCTATCATTTCTCACATCTAAGAGCTGTTCTGTAGCACAGTTGGTCCTGAACTTGAACTCAGGACCTTTATGGTTCTAGTGCCTTTCTTATTAGTACTCCCTTAAAATGTTAAATAACATCTTTTGTTCTTTATTTCTCCATTTGCAAATGATTTATCACTCTCTTACTCATGAAAATAGTTTCAATCATTATTAAAGTTAAAGAGCTTTAAGGGAAAAAATAAAAAAGATAAGGACATTGGAATTAATCTTCTAATTAAGTAATCAAAATATTTAGGTATATTGGGGTGCCTGAGTGGCTCAGTTGGTTGTGTCCAACTCTTGATTTCAGCTCACATCATGATCTCAGGGTTGTGAGATCAAGCCTCATGTCAGGCTACCTGCTGGATGTGGAACCTGCTTAAGATTCTCTTTCATGGGGTGCCTGGGTGGCTCAGTCGTTGGGCGTCTGCCTTCGGCTCAGGTCATGATCCCAGGCTCCTGGGATCGAGCCCCGCATCGGGCTCTCTGCTCAGCGGGGAGCCTCCGTCTCCCTCTCCCACTCCCCCTGCTTGTGTTCCTTCTCTTGCTGTGTCTCTCTCTGTCAAATAAATAAAATCTAAAAAAAAAAACCCACAAAATTCTCTTTCTTCCTCCTCCTCCTCTCCCTCCACCTCCCATCCCACATATGCATGTGCTCTCTCTCTCTAAAACATAAAACAAAAAAAATATTTAGGTATAAATATAGGTTTATAATTTTTATTATTATTATAATCCTACCAGTAAATACAAACAAGACAGATTATTATGTTTTAAGAGTTAAGGTGAAGAATTTAATAAAAAATTATATTTTGCATAGTACATAAATGTTTACCTGTGTTTTTTCCCTACCCTTCCCTTTAGAGCCATTTTAAGTGCCAGATCTCGTTATTTTGCTGCAATGCTGAGTGGCTGTTGGGCTGAAAGCTCCCAAAAGTACATTACTCTTCAAGGGTAAGCATAATTCTTACAGGGCAGCTTGAATGCAAATAATACTTCATACAGAGCACTCTTTATGAATCTGATTTCCCCATGTGTTCATTGAAGTGTTTCTCATGTTGTAGCATTCATCAAAGTACATCTTCTGAAAATGAGAGATAATACAAAGCATTTAGTAATAGAGATAACGTGTTAGTCTTCTCAGACTGCTATAACAAAATACCACTACTGGGTGGCTTAAACAACAGAAATTTATTTTCTCACAATTTGGCAAGATCAGAGTGCTAGCAAGTTTTGTGTCTTGTGAGAGCTCTTACCTAAGGTTGCAGACAGCTGGTTCTTTGTATGTGCTTAATGGCCTTTCCTTAGTGCATGGGGGCATGGGGAGAAGAAAAGAAGGGAGAGAGAGAACTCTCTGGTGTATCTTCTATAAGGACCCTAATTTTATTTTATTTTTAATTTTTTTAAAGATTTTATTTATTTGAGAGAGAGCACAAGTAGGCAGAGCAGCAGGCAGAGGGAGAGGGAGAAGCAGGCTCCCCGCTGAGCAGGGAGCCCGATGTAGGGCTCCATCCCAGGACCCTGGGATCATTATCTGAGCTGAAGGCAGACGCTTAAGGACTGAGCCACCCAGGTGCCCCAAGGACACTAATTTTAGCACATTAGGGCAGGGCCCCACCCTATTACCTCATTTAACCTTAATTCCTTATAAGCCCCATTTCTAAATATAGCCACATTGGAGGGTTAGGCCTCAGTATATGAATTTGGGTGGGTGGGGCTGTAAATATTCAGTCTGCAAAAGGTAGTTTCTTTTCTTTCTTTCCTTTTTTTTTTTAAAGAGTAATTTGGATAGGTGTGGATTTCATTGACCTATCATAAGGCAATGAATGTGAATCTGCACAATTGGTGGCAGTTTATATAAACTGCCAAGATAGTTATTAAGAGATGAACTAGTACCTTAAATGATAAAAAGAAACCTTTTTTGGTCACAGATGATCCCTGTGAGATTCTTTAGTATGGGGGAGAGCTTTCTCAGTAGGAAAATTGCCTGGGAGTTCTTAGGGAACCCCTCAGCCCTTCATCTTAGCCAGAGGTTTGGGTGTGGAATAGTGATAGTGGCAATTCCATGACAATGGATGCACAGGAAGTATTGATAAATTCCTACCATTTATTTGTCACCCTGGCTTTGATCTTGATTCTTGGTTGCAGTCACAATGGTTCTCTTCCAAACTAGAACAGATCTCCAAATGTCTATCATTTTGTAATTTCTTACTCTATAAAAAATGGAATTTTGAAACATTATTTATGAGAATATATAATGTGTTTTTATTTTGTCCTTTTTTTCATATTTTATTCATTCAGTAGGAATGAAATGCAAAAGGACCCAACCCCATTTTCTTCATCCTAGGGCCTTTTGAAGATTATGTTTTAATTATACTACCACAGTTTCAATAGACATATCAGTGTATTTTGCAACCTGTCTTTTGGATGTATTTTCAGCAGCTGCCATCATTAGCGATTTCAATTATGTATCCATGGAATCATGTGGATGCCCTTATTACAGTGTGTTTTTTAAAGAAAAAAAAAGACTAATGAAATAGTAATAGAGTAATGGAGAATGTAAACTCGCATATAACCACCAACTTTTTACTTGATATTGCTACTAAAATGAACTTCCTCTCTAATTTGTCCTCCTCATGTATATGCAGGTTTGTTTTTCTTCTGTTTTTCCTGTCCTTCACTAATATAGCATTAAAACATTACATGAATTGCTTTGGTGATGTTAAAAAAAATAATATTTACATCTAAGTAACCCTGTTTCCCTATTTTTCCATCTGAGCTGCTCTTTTTTTTTATTTAAACAAATTTTAATTGAGATGTAATTGATATATAACATTGTATTCATTTCAGGTGTACAACATAATGATTGGATTTATGTATCTATTACAAAATGATTATCACAATAAATGTACTTAATATCCATCATCTCACATAGTTATACATATTTTTCTTATGAGGATTTTTAAAATCTCTCTTAGCAACTTTCATATATACAAAATAGTATTAACTGTAGTAACCATGCTATAAGTTATATCCCTAGGATCTATTTGTCTTATAACTGGAAATTTGTACCTTTGAACACCTTCACCTTCCACCCACCCTCCTACCCCCTGCCTTTGGCAACCAGGTAGTTTCTGATTATGGAAGCTTTTATATGCCAAGCTAAGGAATGTATTATCCTGTGGGTAAAAGGAATGTGTAGATGAAGCAGTGAAATTTTATCATCACTATTGAAAAACAATCTGAAAGATGTATATATCCTACTGATAAGACCTCTTTCTTTATGATGAATTTAAAATATCCACTGAGTATAGAAAGAAGAATAGTGCTAGTAGAGGCCAGAGTCTACATTGGTGTAATTTTGGAAACTTGTCCAGGGACTGTGTTTCAAATGTTTTAGACATCATTTTAAAGAACGGTCAATCCACTCTCTTTAGAACTGAATTCAAAAATTCACTTTTTTATTCTGAATTTTTAAATTCGGAAATTTAAATGGAGAGATAACACTAGTTTGGCTCAAAATGCAACTTCTGACATTCATTAAAAATCACATGATTCTGTGTAGTGAGATAAAAGTCAAAAGAAGGGTATGATTATGGGATCTTATTCTACAGCAGGGGAAAGTAATTTATAGAAAGCGCATGTCTAGTTTTTTTCCTGGAAGAAATCATAGTCCCTTGTAGGTTTAGTGACAGTTTTTACTATCTGATACCCATTATGTAGCTCTTTCTTCCTTTCTCCAAATAGATTCTGTCCTCAGCGGTAATAATACCTTATAGTCACACCATGTATTTTCTGGGCTTCTTCCACATTTACTATGCCCTTTAATTTTTAGAATCAGTCTTTCAGAGAGCAGGTGTATATTCATATATTGCAGATGGATAAAAACAAGATCAGTTAAGTTAAATATCTTCCTGGAGTCACCTGTTAAATAGGTGCCTGTACTGAATATAAATCACACGGTTTTTGATACTTTATTCAGTGTCCATTCCACCACAGTCACTAAAGAATTTAGAACTTTCCCATTGGCATGGGAACTCTTGAGCTAGTGCAGACTGCTCTTCTATGCCACTGTTTAAATCAGTGATTTTCAAACTTTATCCCATAGGACCCTAAAGTTCTTGGTAGGTATGTTAGGGAACACATGGCATGGGATTGGGATCTGAGGGGAAATCTGTATGGGAAGGGGCACTCCTTCAACCAGAGCTGCTCCACTTTTATCTGTTTTATATTGTTTAAGATGACCTCAGAGTTTAGCTATGGGAATAAAGGCAATCCTTAATCAGCCCTCGTGAGTGATCAGATTAAACATTCAAAACCCACCGTCTTTTAAAGATGAAGCCTATTTATTAAGAGGTCCGTAGACAAGAAAGAAATAGTATCATCAACTAGTGGTCTCTACTCCCTTACCTGTAATTTTCCATCCTTGATTATGATGGATATGATGGATAAATATCTCCTGTTATAATATGGCTTGACTACCACTGGCCAAGTTTAGTAACTTGCTCAAGGAAAAGCCAAATATAAGTAGCCAAACTTGTTTCAGAGTTGTATTTGACTTTCCCTTGAACAAGCTACTAAAGTTGGTCAGTGCTGGGCGCCTGGGTGGCTCAGTTGGTTAAGCAACTGCCTT